TACAGGGCAGATTTTAATACATCGGATGTTTAAAACTATATGATTCTTTAAATACAGGATTGCTTTCTGAATGAATGTATGCATGAACTCATCGTTGTTTTTAATACAAAATCCCTGCATGTTTAATACATTATCCGCTCGCGGAGCATGTATTAAAACCGGCGCTGTAGCACGGTCCCAGACCCCCACCGTCATGACTTTTTCATGACGCGACCCCCAGAGGTCCAGACCCTTTCCCTGGGAACGGTTGGTCATCCCGAGTCGTTTGGTGAGGGTCCTGAGGCCCGGTGAGGGCCCCCCAGAGGCCGAACAAATAGCAAGAAACCTGCCGTCGTGATTCCTTCGTGGCTCGAGGGGGGTCTGGGCTGACTGCCTCCCCGCCTCCCTCTGGCCAGGGTGTTCCTCGGCAGGGTCTCCCGCTGTGCAGAGCACGGGGCTCGTACGACCTCTGCGTGCGTGCGTGCAGCTGCTGTCGGCTCCGCCGCCGGGCGCGTGTTTCTTCCTCGACGCGCCAGCGCGCCGCTGGCGCAGGTGGGGCCCCCCACAGGCCCGGCTGCGCGTGAGGGCCGCTTCGCCAGCTCCCCTCTCGTCCGCCCCGAGAAGCAGTCCTGGGCGTGTGCTGCCCAGACCCCCTCAAGTCATGGAGAAATCACGGCGGTGGGTTCTCCCCTATGTTCGGCCTCGGGGGGCCCTCACCGGGCCTCGGGACCTTCAAAAAACGACTCAGGGTGAGAAGCCGGTCTCGGGGAAGGGGTCCGGGCCTCTCGGGGTCGCGTCATGGAAACACATTGCGTTGGGTGTCTGGGTGTGCAGCCCTGCCCTGTTCGGTTTGCTCTGGGGTGCGCTTATCAGTGGGCTTCGCTTGCAGGGAGTGCTTGTGCTGAGGGTGGTTCTTCTGCCTTCCGCGGCGGAAGCGGGCCCCGAGGGAAGCGGACCCTGAGTTGAATTGTTTCATCGGTGGTGGCTTCCCGGGGTCTCCCACGGGCTCTCAAGCTGCCCAAAACGGCTCAGGAAAGGGCCCATGGAGCTGCCCAAAAGCTGCCCATGAGCTGGTCCGGGGACAAAAACCGTGGATCCAGGGCTCGCTCCCTACAAGACGAGCTTGAAGCCGTTTTTGCGTGGCGGCGAGGAGTCTGGACTTCACGCAAGTCGGGATACACTTGTGCTCTTTTTGGGCCTGATGCTGCTTGAAAAATGCAGCGGAGGGGGGGAATTCCATGACGCAAGTAAATCTGCCTGAGCCTCAAGTAAAATGTCTTCCTTCCTTAATGCTGATCCCCTCCTCTGCAGATCTTCAGTGCCGTGGCGTGATCCACGGCGTGGACCCCCCTCCAAACGCCTTGGCCCTCGGCCCCCATAGGATGGTCTCCTCGTTGCCGCATGCTTCCGTCGAGTGCGCGGCCGCCCTCTTCTGTTCCGCGCTGAAACACGTGCCGCCGCGCCGTTTGTTCCGACGCGCGGACTTACTAATTATGTGGGGAGAGCGCCTCGGCCACCAGGGCAAACTCCTCCTCGGACGCAGGGCTTGCCGTGGGTTTGCCGCGGTGCCAGCTCTGCCCACTTGGGTGCGTTCCGAGCAAGCGGCGCGGCGATGTGTGGCGCAATTCGCCCAGCAGTGACCCCGCTTAGGCTACCGGCGCGGTGCGCGATTGACATCGCCACGATAAGAAAGAGTTGCCTCTGTTGATGGCCCCGTGGGGCACCAGAGGCGGGCCCTGGACCTCTGGGCGTGCGGAGAGAGCACTGCATCGGTGGCGTCCCGTGGCGCCTCGAGGTCGCATTCCTGCTCCTCCCTCGCCTCACCCTCCCCCCCCCCCCACCCGAGGCGCTCGACAACGCCTCGGAGGTGTCCATGGAGCACCTGAAGGAGGTGGACACCCTCATCAAGGAGCTCAGCCTGGCCCAGAAGCAGGCCTGGAACCCCCGACTCAAGGTCAGCGGGGGGAGGAGGAGGACCAGGCGGATGAGAATTGGAGATGGGAAGGACGACGACGACGACGACGACGACGACGACGACGATGCGATGATGATGATGATGATGATGATGATGATGATGATGATGATGATGATGAGGAGGATGGTGATGATGATGATGATGATGATGATGATGATGATGATGATGGTGATGATGATGATGATGATGATGATGATAAAGAAAAAGGTGATGATGATGCTGATGATGCTGATGATGGTGGTGGTTGTGGTAGTGGTGTTGGCGTTGATGATGATGCTGCTGATGGTGATGATGATGCTGATGATGATGATGCTGATGATGATGATGATGGATGGTAATGCTGATGATGGTGATGTGATGCTTTTTATGATGGTACTGACGATGAGGAGGATAATGTTGAAGGGGATGGCGACGGCGATGATGATGATGATGATGATGATGATGATGATGATGATGATGATGATGATGATGATGATGATGATGATGATGATGGTGATGATGATGATGATGATGATGATGATGATGATGATGATTGTGATGGTACTAATGATGGTTTTGATAATCATGATGGTGATTATGCTGCTGCTGCTGATGATGATGATGACGGTGCTGCTGCTGATGATGATGCCGATAAAGATGATCATGATGATGCTGATCATGGTGATGATGATGGCGATGCTGATACTGATGATGCTGCTGCTGCTGATGATGATGATGATGATGATGATGATGATGGTGGTAATGGTGATTGTGGTGATGATGATGCTGCTGGTGATAATGAGGAGGATGGTGATGGCTATGGCGATGGCGATGGCGTTGAGGATCAGGATGAGGATGGGGATAAGGATTAGAATAATGACGATGATCATGATGCTGATGATGGTGATGATGCCGATGGGGATTATGATGCGGATGCTGATGATGTTGCTTCTGATGATGATGCTGCTGATGATGATATTGAGTATGGTGCTGACGGTGATGTGGATGATGATCAGGATGATGGTGGTGATAATGATTATGAGTATGAAGCTAATGAAGACGCTGGAGATGATGACAAGCATGCTTGGTAATGATGGTGAGCAGGACGACGACGACGACGGAGACGACGACGATGATGGTGGTGATGATGACGATGACGATGACGACGATGCTGATGATACTGAAGATTTTGATGCTGATGATGATCTGATGATCTGATGATGAGGAGGAGCACGAAGCGGTGGAGGAGGAGGAGTAGAAGGGGGATGAGCAGGAGGAACAGGAACAGGAGAGTGAGGAGGCATGGTCCAGAGGCCACCAGAAGGCTTCGAGCGCCCAGGAGCGACCCAGCACGCTTCCCCGAGGCCAAGTCGTTGCCCCGAGGGCAGGTGGTGGCAGAGCTCGTCGTTGTTGGTGCTCGGCTGCCCTCTGGAGGTGGTCTGCTGGGGTGCTCCTGCGCACCCTTGGGCCCGCAGGGCGGCCACGGGCCAGCGCCGAGGGCGGGAGGAGGAGGAGGAGGAGGAGGAGGAGGAGGAGGAGGAGGCAAGGGAGGAAAGGGAGGAGGAGGAGGAGCAGGAGGAGAAGGAGGAGAGATGAAGGTGTACCAGTGCCAGAGCCTCATGTTCACAAAGCAGAAGGCCAACGTGGAGCGCGCCCTCAACCAGCTGATGGACATCTACACGGACAAGAAGGACTACGTCCCCGCCCTGCTGGCGATGTCCCAGGGGCTCATCATCCAGAAGCAGGTCACAAAGGCCAGGAACCAGCTGAAGCGCATCGCGGACCTCGCGAAGAAGGGCTACAGCGCAGAGTTCATGGACGACTTCGAGAGAGCGTGGTTGCTACTCGCGGAGATCTACATCCAGTCGTCCAAGTATGATCTAGCCTCCTCTCTGTGCCACCTCGCCAAAGATCACAACAGATCTTGCGGAAAGGCTTGGGAACAGTTAGGCCTAATCTACGAGAAAGAGCAGGCATACAAGGACGCAGCGATACATTACGAGAAGGCGTGGGAGTTCTGCAACGAATCTTCGCCATCCGTCGGGTACCGGCTGGCCTTCAACTACTTGAAGGCGAAGCGGTACGTGCCGGCAATCAACATCTGCCAGCAGGTCTTAAAGATCTCGGAGAATTATCCGAAGATCAGGAAGGACGTGCTTGACAAGGCGCGAGGACTTCTGAGGTCTTAGCGGTGGCACGCTCTCTCCCTGAAATATCGGGCCTCTCGCGCCTGCACCCTGTCTGCGTACCTGCATGCATGTAGTGCTGCTGCTCCCAGAAAGGGTCACCGTGCACATCCTTCTCACCTGCATCTGGCTCCTCCTCACCCCTCGTTACCCACGCCCTCCCGCTCCATTCTCCACCGCCCCTCCTCGCCCTCCCCCCCTGCTCCTGCCTCCCTTGGCGCCTCCCTCGAAGGAGAAGAATAATCACATTATGAGCAACTACATCAACAAACATTCGTACAGATCCGCGCGCATGTGTCTTGGGGCGGCGCTGGACCACCACCTTTCGCGCGCGGAGCGCGCTGGGGGGGCGGCGCTGGAGGCGCCGCTCGGGGGGCTCCGGGACCGACCCGAGAACGCCGCGCGGGTTCTCCGAAAGTTTGTGCCCATGCCGTGTTTTCTTTCTCTGCTTCCTCCTCCCCCGTCGGACGGGGGAGAAGAGAGTACACTAAGAGAGGGGGGCGGAAGGAGGAGGAGGAGGAGGGGGGCAGAGGGAGCACATGGGGAGGACGGGGGAGAAGGGAGGAGGGGGGACTGAAGTTTGCAGAGGGTACTCGTGGCTAAAGGCCTCCCCGGCTTTTCGCCCCGTCTTGGGGGCCCTGGGGCCCCGCGGGCCTCGTGGTGGGTGCTCTGGAGGCCATGGGGGCCTTCTCGGAGATCCTGGGGACACCCTGGGCCAGGGGCACCTCAGGCAGCACCCGAAACAACTTGCCTCCTCCCCTCCCGTTCTTGTCTCCCTCGAGCATAACATGTTCTCCTCCCCACCCCTCGAGGAGCTGGCCTCGACGAAGCCAGCGAGCTCTCGATTGCGCAGCTCGTGTCCGCCCCGCTCCGGGACGTGTCTGATGTCTGCTAGATTCGGGCCTCGGTGGCTACGGTTCCCTCAACAAATATACACGCGACATATACGCTCATGCCTGCATGCATGCATGCATGCACATCTACAGCTAAGGCGACCAAGCGGTTAAGAAATACCCCAGGGAGGAGCGCTGCGATATCGCAGCGCCCAAACGGGAAGTGGACGATTAAAATGATGTTCCCGGTTCGTCGTCGTCGTCGTCGTCGTCTCGTCGCCGTCGAGGCCGCCAGGAGCGCACCCAGCGACCCAGACGAGACACAGCTATTTGCGTTTGCTGCTCGCTTGGTCGCACTACTCCTCTAATGTATGTGAGATCTCGCGCTGCAGTGGCAGCGATGCTCGGCCTCCCCCTGCCCTTTGCGTCGACAAGAAGAAATATGGACGTGTGGTGCGAGATGCACGACAAGCACACGGAGTGTTGCTACAGTGGAGACCCATGCCCAAAAAAACCTTGCTTGCCTCCAGGGCGCCCGGGGTTTCTTAGGTTTCGATGCCTTTGCTATGGAGAGTGTGACGTTCCCACACCCAAATCCGCGGACGTCCTGGGTCTCAGGATCGGGCTTCTTGTGGAACGTTTCTTGTGGACTGGCCTCCACTGTGCGTTCGGACTGCGCTCCACACACGCCCTCGGACTGGAGGCGCGGGCCATGGCTACAAGGCAAGCTCCTCCTCCTCCTCCTCCTCTTCCTCCTCCGCCTCCTCCGCATCCTCCTCCTCCGCCTCCTCCTCCGCCTCCGCCTCCACCTCCGCCTCCTCCTCCTCCTCCTCCTCCGCCTCCTCCTCCTCCTCCTCCTCCTCCGCCTTCTCCTCCTCCTCCTCCTCCTCCTCCTCCGCCTCCTCCTCCTCCTCCCCAGACCGCCAACGGCGGCTCCTCCGGCAGGTCGGGGGGGGCAGCGGGGCAAATGTCGCAGCTCAGACGGCATGGCAAGCGCATCTGCCGCACACCACGCTCCCGCCGCTCCACGTGGCGCTGACGAGGCCCCCCCCCCTTAGCTGCCAGGGCCCCGTCTCGGTCATGATCCACCGCGTGGGGCCCGTGCTCATCCTGGACGACGGGCCGAGCGGCTGGTCCCGAGGCGCCCAAGGGTAGCCGAGGAGGGGGAGGGGGAGGAGGAGGAGGAGGAGGAGGAGGAGGAGGAGGAGGGAGGAGGAGGAGGAGGAGGAGGAGGAGGAGGAGGAGGCCCTGGGGGCCCTCGCCGGGCCTCGGGACCGTCAAAAGACGACTCGGCAAGAGGAGGTCGGGGACAGTTTGGGGGCGGTTTCGCAAGATGGAGCCAAGATCCTTCGTCGACCCAGGCCTCCCACACTGGGTCCCAGCAGTAGGGGAACGAACAATGACATAAACATTAAAACTCGGAGGTCCGCGCGGATTTCTCGGATCCGCGCTGGACCCCCTCGCGGCGCCTCCAGCGCCGCCCCTGGCGCGCTCCCCGCGCCAGGGAGGGGGGTCCAGCGCCGATCCGAGAAATCGGCGCGGACCTCCGAGGTTTTATGTTTAGGACATTTTTCGTTCCCCTAAGCAGGTGGTGTCGGAGAGTTGCGTTGCGTTGCTGCTGCGGCTCTCTGTGGAGCCCGATTTTCTCCCCGCGCCGACGAGCGGCGGGTCCTGAGGCGCCCAGCGGTGATCAGGAAGGGGAGGGCGGGCGGACAGCTTTCGGGCATTGTCGTGAAACGGAACATGTGCGATCGGGAGCTCTGGCTCCGCGTGTCGCGCCGCCAGTACTGGCCCGCCGTGCTCCAGCACGGCACGCTACAGTCAGCCCGCGTAGCAGGGATGGGCAACTTTCCAGAGGGTGCCCTTGCATCCTTGCGTCCTCGGCCCATTCTCCGCCGCTTTCCGCTGGCCGCGCCCCGCTCGAACAGCTTCGACATGGGCGTCCAAGACCCTTGCATCCGCATCGCGCATCCTTGTGATACGGGCCGCCTGTATCCACTTCCTGGCCCCCGAGCGTGAAGTCGGGCGTGCCCCTCTACAGCAGGAGTAGTCCAAAAAGTAGTCAAAACAGGATGGGGACGATTTCGAATGTGTTTTTCCCAACCATCCTGTGGTGTTGGGTCCTCGTTTTGAAGAGACGGTGCCCCGCGTTCCTCTCCTCTCCTCTCCTCTCCTCTCCTCTCCTCTCCTCTCCTCTCCTCTCCTCTCCTCTCCTCTCCTCTCCTCTCCTCTCCTCCTCTCCTCCCCTCCTCTCCTCCTCTCCTCTTCACCCACCCAGTACACCGCTTCGTGGCTCCATAGGGAGCTCCACCGAAGGCCCCAGTGCCCGCGCCCGCATGCGTCACCCACACCCATTTCGGCACACCCCTCACACGTTTCGTGGCTCCATAGGGAGCTCCACCGAAGGCCCCAGTGCCCGCGCCCGCATGCGTCACCCACACCCATTTCGGCACACCCCTCACACGCTTCGTGGCTCCATAGGGAGCTCCACCGAAGGCCCCAGTGCCCGCGCCCGCATGCGTCAGCCACACCATTTCGGCACACCCCTCACACGTTTCGTGGCTCATACACCGAAGGCCCATCGCATGCGGTTTCGGCACCACCATAGGGAGCTCCGAGGCCCCAGTGCCCGCGCCCGCATGCGTCACCCACACCCATTCGGCATACCCCACACAGAAGGAAGGGGAGCTCCAGGAGGGGGGCCGGTAAGGGAAAAAGAAAAGCAGCAATCCCTCACACGTTTCGTGGCTCCATAGGGAGCTCCACCGAAGGCCCCAGTGCCCGCGCCCGCATGCGTCACCCACACCCATTTCGGCACACCCCTCACACGTTTCGTGGCTCCATAGGGAGCTCCACCGAAGGCCCCAGTGCCCGCGCCCGCATGCGTCACCCACACCCATTTCGGCACACCCCTCACACGTTTCGTGGCTCCATAGGGAGCTCCACCGAAGGCCCCAGTGCCCGCGCCCGCATGCGTCACCCACACCCATTTCGGCACACCCCTCACACGTTTCGTGGCTCCATAGGGAGCTCCACCGAAGGCCCCAGTGCCCGCGCCCGCATGCGTCACCCACACCCCTCACACGTTTCGTGGCTCCATAGGGAGCTCCACCGAAGGCCCCAGTGCCCGCGCCCGCATGCGTCAGCCACACCCATTTCGGCACACCCCTCACACGATTCGTGGCTCCATCGGGAGCTCCACCGAAGGCCCCAGTGCCCGCGCCCGCATGCGTCAGCCACACCCAATTCGGCACACCCCTCACACGTTTCGTGGCTCCATAGGGAGCTCCACCGAAGGCCCCAGTGCCCGCGCCCGCATGCGTCACCCACACCCATTTCGGCACACCCCTCACACGCTTCGTGGCTCCATAGGGAGCTCCGCCGAAGGCCCCAGTGCCCGCGCCCGCATGCGTCACCCACACCCATTTCGGCACACCCCTCACACTTTTCGTGGCTCCATAGGGAGCTCCGCCGAAGGCCCCAGTGCCCGCGCCCGCATGCGTCACCCACACCCATTTCGGCACACCCCTCACACGTTTCGTGGCACCATAGGGAGCTCCACCGAAGGCCCCATTGCCCGCGCCCGCATGCGTCACCCCACACCCATTTCGGCACACCCCTCACACGCTTCGTGGCTCCATTATAGTGGGAGCTCCACCGAAGGCCCCAGTGCCCGGGCACCGCATGCGTTCGCCCCCCGCACACCCAATTCGGCACACCCCTCTCACGTTTCGTGGCACCATAGGGAGCTCAACCGAAGGCCCCAGTGCCCGCGCCCGCATGCGTCAGCCACATCCATTTCGTCAACTCCCTCACACGTTTCGTGGCTCCATAGGGAGCTCCACCGAAGGCCCCAGTGCCCGCGCCCGCATGCGTCAGCCACACCCATTTCGGCACACCCCTCACACGTTTCGTGGCTCCATAGGGAACCCCACCGAAGGCCCCAATGCCCGCGCCCGCATGCGTCAGCCACACGCATTTCGGCACACCCCTCACACGTTTCGTGGCTCCATAGGGAGCTCCACCGAAGGCCCCAGTGCCCGCGCCCGCCTGCGTCACCCACACCCATTTCGGCACACCCCTCACACGTTTCGTGGCTCCATAGGGAGCTCCACCGAAGGCCCCAGTGCCCGCGCCCGCATGCGTCATCCACACCCATTTCGGCACACCCCTCACACGCTTCGTGGCTCCATAGGGAGCTCCACCGAAGGCCCCAGTGCCCGCGCCCGCATGCGCCAGCCACACCCATTTCGGCACACCCCT